CAACCCTAAGGCTGACCGTTTCTCGCCTCTGAGACCCGTAATTTTCTCTCCTCCTCTCTTCTCTCCTTTTTCCTCCCCCTCCTCCCCCTCTCCCTTCCTCTTCCCCTCTTCCCTCTCTCCCCTCCCCCTCCCCCTCCCTTCCCCCCTTTTTTTCTCTTTTTTCCTCTTTTTTCTCCCCTCTTTTTTTCTCCCCTTTTTTTTCCCCTTTTTTTTTCCCTTTTTTTTCTCCCCCTTTTTTTCTCCCCCCTCTTTTCCCTCTCCCCTTCCCCCCTCTTCCCTTTTCTCTCCTCTTCCCCTTTCCTCTCCTTTTTTCCCTTCCCTTTTCTTTTCCTTTCCTCTCCTCCCCTTTTCCCCCTTTTCTCTTCCTTCCTTTTCCTTCCTCTCCTCTTTTCTTCCTTCCCTCTTCTCTCCTTCTCCTTCCTCTCCTCTTTTCTTCCTTCCCTCTTCTCTCCTTTCCCTCCCTCTCCCCTTTTCCCCTTCCCTCCTTTTCCTTCCCCTCTCCTTTCCTTTTTTCCCTTCCCTTTTTCCCTTCTCTTTTTTTCTTCTTCCCCTTTCCCTCTTCTTTTTCCTTCCTCTTCCTTTCCTTTTCCTCTTTCCCTCCTCTTCTTTTCCCCCTCCCTCCTCTTTTCTTTTCCTTTCCCTTCTCCTTTCTTTCCCCCTTCTCTCTCTCTCCTCTTCCTCTCCCCCTCCCTCTCCTTCTTCTTTTCCCCTCTCCCTCTTCTTTTTCTTCTCCCTCTCCCTCCTCTTTCCTCTTTCCCTTCCCTTTTCTTCTCTTTCCTTTCCCTTTCCTCTCTTCCCCCTCTCCCTCTTTCCCTTCCCCTTCTCTCCTCTTTCTCTTTCCTTCCCCTCTTTCCCCCTTTCTCCCCCTCTCCCCCTCTCCCCCTCTCTTTTTTCCCTTTCCTCTTTTTTCCCCTCTTTCCCTTCTTCTTTCCTCTTTTTCTTCTCTCCCTCTCCCTCTCCTCTCCTTCCTTTCTTCCCCTTCCCTCCTCTTCCCTTCCCCTCTCCTTCCCTTTTCCTTCCTTTCTCTTTTCCCTCTCTCCTCTCCTTTCCTTTCCCTCTTTCTCCCTCCTCCCTTCTCTCCCCCTTCCTTTTCCTCCCCTCTCCTTCTCCCCTTCTCCTCCCCTCTTTTTTTTCCTCCCCCTTTTTTTTCTCCCCTCTTTTTTTTCCTCCCCCTTTCTTTTTTCTCCTCCCCTTCTTTTTTTCTCCCCTTTTCTTTCCCCCTCTTTTCCTCCTCTCTCTCTCCCTCCCCTTTTTTTCTTCCCCTCTTTCCTCCCCCCTTCTTGCTTTTCTTTCTTCCCTTCCCTTCTTTTTTCTTTCTTCTCTTCCCCTCTCTTTCTTCTCTTTTTTTTCCTCCTCCTTTTCTCTCCTTTTTTTTCCTCCCCTCTTTCCCCTCTTTTTCTCTCCTTTTCCCCCTTCTTCTCCCCCTTTTTTTCCTCTCCTTTCTTTTTCCTCCTCCTCCCTCCCCCTTTTCTTCCCCCTTTTTTCCCCCCCTTTTTTCCTCCCCTTTTCTTTCCCTTTTTTTCCTCCCCCTCTTTCTCCCCTTCTTCCTCCTCCCTTTTCCTTCCCTCTCTTTTCCCTCCCTCCCTTGTTTTTTTCCTTCCTCTCTCCTCTCCCTTCCTTTCCCTTCCCCCCTTCTCTTCCCTCCTCCCTCTCCTTTTCTCTCCCCTCCTCTCCCTCTCCCCTTCCCCCTTTTCCCTTTCTCTCCTCTTCCCCTCTCCCCTCCTTCCCCCTTCCCTCTTCTCTCCTCCCCCTCCCTTTCCCCCTTCCCTCTTCTCTCCCTTCCCTCCCCTCCCTCCCTCCCCTTTTCTTCTTCCCTCCTTTTCCTTCCCCTCTCCTTCCTTTTTTTTCCCCTTCCCTTTCCCCTCTTCCTTCCTTCCTTTTCCCCCTCTTTTCTTTTCCCCTTTCCCTCTTCTTTCCCCTTCCCCTTCCTCTTCCTCTTCCTTTCTCTTTCTTCTTTCCCTCCTCTTCTTTTTCCCCTCCCTCTCCTTTCTTCCTTTTTTCCCCCTTTTCTCTCTCCTTCCCCCCTTCCCTTTTTTTCTCTTCCTCCCTTCCCTTTTTCCCTTCCCCTCCTCTTTCCTTTTCCCCTTCCCTCCTCTTTCCTTTCCCTCCTCTTCCCTTTTTCCCTTTCCCTCCTCTTCCCTTCCCCTTCCCCCTCCTTTTCTCTTTCCCTTCCCCTTCCTCTCCCCTTTTTTTTTCTTCTCCTCCCCTCTTCTCTTTCCCCCTCTCTCTTCTTTTCTTTCCCCCCTTTTTCTTTCCTTCCCCTTTCTCTTTCTCCTCCCTTTTTTTCTTCTCCTCCCCCCCCTTTTTTTCCCCTCCCCTCTCCTTTCTTTTTTTTCCTCTCCCTCCCTTTTCCCCCTCTCCTTTTTTCTTCCCCTCTTCTTTCTTCCTCCCTTTCTTTTCCCTCTCTCCTCTTTCTCTTCTTTCCCCCCTCCTTTTCTTCCCTCCCTTCTTTCCTCTTCCCCCTTCTCTCCCCTCTTCTCCCTTTTCCTTTTCCTTTCCTTCCTCCTTCCTTCTCCCTCCTTCTCCTTTCCTCTCCTTCTTTTTTCTTCCCCTCTCCTTCTCTTTCCTCTCCCTTCTCCTTCTTTCTCCCCCTCTCCTCCTCTTCCCCTTTCCTCTCCTTCTTTCTTCCCCTCTTCTCCTCCCCCTTTTCCTTTCCTCTTTCTTTTTTCCTCCTCCCCTCTCCTTTTCCCCCCTCTTCTCCCTTCCTCTCTTCTCTTTTTCTCCTCTTCTCTCCTTTTCTTTCTTCCCCCCCTTTTCCCTCCTTTTCTCTCTTCCCCTCTGCTTTTTTCCTTCCTTTTCCTTCCCTTTCCTCCCCTCCCCTTTTTTCTCTCTCTCTTTTCTTCTCCCTTTTCTTTTCCCCCTTTCTTCTCTCCTTTTTTTTCTCCCTTCTTCCCCTTCCCTTTTTTCCCCCTCATTTTTTTCTTTCTTTCTCCTCCTTCCTCCCCTCTTTCCTCTCTCCCCTCCCCTTTCTCTCTCCCTTCTCCCTTCCCCTCTCCCTCCCTTCCCTTCCTTCCCCCTTCTTCCCTCTCCTCTCCTCTTCTCCTCCCTCTCCTTCTCTTCTTTCTTCCCCTCTTTCTCCTCCTCTTCCTTCTCCTCCTTCTTCTTCCTCTCTTCTCCTTCCCTCCCTCTTCCCTCCTTCCCCTCCCTTTTCTTCCTTCTCTGTCCTGTCTTCCTTCCTCTCCCCTTTCCTCCCTTTCTCAATTTCCCTCCAACATTTCCCCAACCTTTCCCTCAATTTTACCAATTTTTTCCCCACTTTTTCCAAAACTTTTCACTTTCTCCCAATATCCTCCAACCTTTACACCACTATTTCCCCAACTTTTCCCCAACTTTTTTCCAACTTCTTTCCAACTTTTTTCCAAATTTTTTCCAACTTTTTTCCAACATTTTCCCAACATTTCCCTAACATTTTCCTAACATTTTCTCAACATTTCTCACATTTTCCCAACATTTTCCCAACATTTTCCCATCATTTTCCCATCATTTTCCCAACATTTTCCCATCATTTTCCCATCATTTTCCCCACATTTTCCCATCATTTTCCCAACATTTTCCTAACATTTTCCCAACAATTTCCCAACATTTTCCCAACATCTCCCCCACATTTCCCCACGTCTCCCTATCTCCCCAACATCTCCCCAACATTTCCCCAACATTTTCCTAACTTTCTCGTGTTTATTGGGAATGGTTATATGCTGGACGAAATGTTCATCAATCTCTTGAAAAAAAGATTTAAGTAAAATAAAAAAACACCACTCATTATCGAAAGAGGCGAATAGTCGCAGGGTAACGACAATGTGTGTGCAACTGGTAAGTTGGTGGTGGTTCGAATCTTGCATCGGGAAAAATGTTTTTGTCACAACCCGAAAGAAAAGAGTATTTTTTATTGGCTTTCGAGGGAGAATTTCGTGTTACTGTTGGAAAGTTTTGGTAATTAGCTGCTTGAAAAAAAGGGCTTAATTATGTCCAAGGCTTGATGAAAAATTAGTTCAAAGTTTACAAGTATACATACGATGTAAGCACGTGGATGTTTTGTAGGTCCGCGTAATTTACTACATCTGCGACTTGTATGTACGTAGGCATATGATTTATGGACGTGCACGTTTTGGACCTTCGGGTACGTTCGCTATATATACACTATCCGCCAAAACAAAATTTTCCATTTTTCACTTTGCTTTTTTTTTAACAAATCTAAATGCTATTGCAAATGCCAGATGATCAAACGCAAATAGAATAGCAAAAAACGCCACGCAGTCGCAGTGAACTAATATGGTCATGGTTAAAATTTCAGTGCGCATGTGGAACACTCCCACAATCAACACCCTGAGCTATGTCACATATATACTAGACTTTTTAATGAGATGTTGTGGTGTTGTGTGCTCTCTTCTCAGGGTTTCGGTTGTCATCTTTCCTTTCTTGACCTTTCTCACTTCTGCCAGACGGTCATGAAATTTGGGCTCTGCGATTTCAAAAATATCAGCCAAAATTCTTGTGATTTGGCTGAACATTTAATACAACTAGTAGAAAATGATGTAGAAAATATTACCGATGTTTCTACAATCGAAAATTACGATCCAGTTACGACGAATGTAGAAGGTCTAGATCAAATGAACGTTGAAAGTCATGAACAAACTTCGGCGGTCAACATGCGACAGCGAGGCATATAGTCGATTTAGAGCAAGGTGTTGTTAAGAAAAGAAGGAGAAAATGTGGTAGCTGCAAACCGTGCCTGAGGAAAATAAATTGTGGCGAGTGTAATTGTTGTTTGAATAGAAAGACAAGTCATCACATATGTAAGCTTCGTAAATGCTCTAAGCTCAAAATGAAATCAAGTTGTATGGAGAACGAGTCGGGTACCGTCGCCTTTCAACACCTCGCACAGCAAGCAATTCTAATAGATAGTTCAAATGTTGAGAAATTAGGACATGCGAAAATAAATCCTGAGAAAGCAAAGGGGAAACTGCAGTCATGCCTCTGCAACGGTAAAGCTGCAGAAATTTGCATGGACACGGAGAATGCGCTTTACAAATCCCCTCTGAAACTGATGGAATCGGAACAAAGCCATACAACGGAAATTAGCACAGAGCACAATAATGTTCGCATTCCAAATCGTTCCCCTGTGACACCACTGGAACCAAAATATAATGACACAGGAAATGCAAATAATAAGCCAAATCTACCTGAATTGGATGTTATGGCGTCTGAAATCAAAGAAAAAATGTGGGCTTCTATTATTCAACAAAGTTTATGCGATCAGATTAGTAAAATCTATGACGAAATCGTCCATTTTAGAAGGAACATTTTTGATATACCCTCCGGCAGAGCGGGAAAACATTTCATTGCAGAGTTGACTTATTGGCTAAAGCAATTCAATTCCAATTCTGATCTCAATTCGATTGCATTGAAAGCCTTTATGGTGCTTCCATCTTTGATTCTCCAAAAGCCCTTGGCAACATCAAAGAGCAAAGAACACAGCACAGCGATAAAACGAAGATTAACCCTATGGAAGCAAGGGGGCTTGAATCTACTAATGAAAGAAGTGAGATTTATACAAGATCGATTCTATCATCAAGAAAACCCCGCACAGTAAATTATATCTCCAGAGTTTCCGCCAAATTGGTAATGCAAGGAAAACTATCCGCGGCGATTAAATTTCTGGATAAAGGAAGCTCCTCGGGTTTACTAGATCTTTCGCCGGAACCTTTCGAAGCTTTGAAAGAGAAACACCCGGCAGCCAGTGATGTAGAGGACGAATGCCTCCTAAATGGTCCCGTAGATCGAATCGCGTCCAATATTTTCGACCTCATCAATGAGCAGATGATTTATGACGCAGCTTTTAAAACTAAGGGCTCAGCTGGACCGTCTGGTATGGATGCAGACATATACCGACGAATTTTATGCTTAAAGAATTTCAGTAACGAAGGTAAGATCTTAAGAGAAGAAATATCAACGATGACCAAAAATCTGTTGAAATTATGCTAATATCCATCCCTGTTAAAAAGCTACACATCCTGTAGGCTTATTCCACTAGATAAACATCCTGGAATTCGATTAATTGGAGTGGGGGAAGTGCTGCGAAGAATAATCGGTAAGACAGTAACTTTATTCTTGAGAGCATAGATAAGGGAAGCAGCGGGGCCATTGCAAGTTTGTGCAGGATACAGTGCTGGGGCCGAGGCAGCAATACATGCCATGAACCATGTTTTTGAGGAAGAAGGGACTCATGGAATCCTATTAATTGATGCGACCAATGCTTTTAACCAAATGAATACAGCGGTAACATTGCACAATCTTTGAATAACCTGCAACAGAATGTCCATATACATCATTAACACCTACAGATGCCCCTCCAGGCTATTCATATGCGGGGGAGGTGAGATTTTGTCGCAAGAAGGTACCACCCAAGGGGATCCTCTAGCTATGTCCTGGTACTCAATTAACACAGCTATAATGATTCAAAGTTTGAAATTGAACATACCAGAAATCAAACAAGTATGGCTGGTTGATGACTCAGCGGGAGGAGGAAGATTGACACATTTATATAATTGGTATAAGCATTTGGAAGAGCAAGGAAAGAAATACGGCTATCTAGTAAATGGTCCAAAGTGTTGGCTGATAGTGAAGACGCGAGAACTGGCCAAAGAAGCAGAGCAGATCTCTGGAGAAGAAGTTAAAATTACAACAGAAGGGAAACGCTATTTGGGTGCTGTTATAGAATCAAAAGAATATAAAGATGAGTATTGTAAAGAAAAAATTCAAGGATGGGTACAAGATATCTCATCACTCACGGAAATCGCGAAAAGCCAGCCTCATGCAGCCTACATTGCCCTTACGAAAGCATACAAATCAAAATTTACCTACTTCATGCGAACAATTGAGGCCTTCCAAGAGTACGTAGAACCGATACATGAAACATTGAATGACATTCTCGTACCACAATTTTTTGTTCAAGAAGAACCCCTTGCGAGTGAGCTTCGTGAACTTGTGACCCTAACGCTAGCTCAAAGGGGATTAGGCGTACCGAATTTGAGAATAGAAGCTCGTTTGCAATATGCAGCCTCAAAATTATTTACTAATCAACATGTAAATTCAATTAAATAGCAGAGTGAGGCTCTGGAACCGATAGAGCAGTCTATAGATGATCTGAAGCGAATGCAGCAAGCAAACAAAGCGGAAATTATTAAGTCAAGAATGGATAACATTGATGCAACACTTTCTCCAGACCTACTGTTCTTGGTAAAGCAATCCCGAGACAAAGGAGCGAGTTCCTGGCTAAATGCAATTCCACTCAAAGATCAAGGTCTAGCCCTCAATAAGCAAGAATTCAGAGACTCGTTACGAATAAAGATACAATTTAACTTTGAACGATTTACCAAGTCATTGTGCGTGTGGAGATCGCTTTAACATCAATCATGCCCTCTCTTGTAAAAAAGGTGGGTTCGTGGCACAAAGGCACGATGGAATCCGTAATTTGCTAACAGCGCAACTGGATAAAGTGTGTAAGAATGTGGAAATTGAGCCTCATCTTCAACCCCTTGATAATGAGAGATTTGACTTGAGATCGGCCAATATAAGTCCCGAAGCGAGATTGGACATGAAGGCGGACGGTTTCTGGCTACGTGGAGCTACTGCATTTTTTGACGTAAGAGTAACGCATGTAAACTCCCGATGTAACCAAGGCAGGCCAACCCACAACACTTTTAAGGAACACGAGAACGAAAAGAAGAGAAAATACCAACAGAGAGTTTTAGATGTTGAAATGGGCTCCTTTACCCCACTTGTTCTTGGAACCAATGGTGGAATGGGGTCTGAATGCCACAAGTTTCTTACTCAGCTGGCGCAGAAATTAGCAGCAAGAGACCATGAACGTTCTGCAGTTTTCATAGCTTGGTTGAGAACCAGAATCTCTTTCGAAATTCTAAGATCGGTACATGCGAGTGTAAGGGGATCTAGATCACCTTTCTATAGAAAAGAACTTGAAGTGGTAGACGATTTTGGACTAAATGTTAAGATTGCAGAGGTTTTTTAAAGTTTCTTAGACTTTAACTTTACGTGCGAAGTATTCCTTTTCTATAAAAGTTAGGAAGAAAAACAATCATTATGACATTCGAAGAGTTTAGACAGCCCATTGGAAAGTGCATGGTGATTAGAATAGTTAATTTTGATCTAGTTTTATTTAGAATTCTTTTAAATAAGTATATAGTTAATTTGAATAAATAAAATTATGTGACTGTCTTCTCTCGGTGCTGCCTATGGCGGTATAGTTGGAGATCCTTCGGGATCTTTCTAAAAACTCTCCTCTCTGCTACCTCAAATGGGGGCGCGGCGGGGGTTTGTTTTTCTCCCCCAAAGTGCCCCCGGGTTGTGGTAGCAACCTCTTTTGTCTTCCTTTTTAATTTATGATCAGTCTAATCAATATATGCAAATGAATCTTATTATAAACATGAGAGCCCAACATATAACATTTAAGAAAGCCATCAAAACAATTGAAGTTTAAAAGTAATGATGACTTTCTTTAAGGTTATATGTTGGGCTCTCATATTTATAATAAGAATCCGTTTTCCGCCTGGCAAATCTTTAGCTACGATATATGCAAATGAAGTTTACGTAATCGTATCTATGATGTAATAATTTATGCTGAACCTAACACATGCGCAGTTCACGACGAGCTTCTCTTTCGATCTATTCAATATGGTGGTCAATCAAGAAATGTTTTTGCTTGCAAAAAGATCGTAAATTGTTGGCGCTACAAGCTCGGAAAGGTATTGAAAATATTCCCGTCTCCTTGCTTTATTCTTTAAGTGTAATCTTAAGCGATATAAAGCTTATTTGAATTCGAATAAGTGGAATTTAACATGTGGAACGATTACGGCTGATTGCTTTTACTCATAATTGATGGTTTACTGTGATGACTACCAGCTAGTAATGGACAAATATTGTGTGGAATTATGTGAACTATTAACCCACCTTCTGCATGTTCGCCTTTTATCATCTGATTACTTATAACTTTTACAAATGAGTAAAACTTTTCAACTTTTGATATCTTATAGATTGTAAATGAGATCAGGCTTTTATCAGCTCACAGAATAACAAGGTATATTTATTAATTTTAGAAATTGTGCATCAAAAATTGTCTGCCTAGAACTGAACAAGTGTTGCTAAAGATGTATGGATTAACTGCAGTTGGTATATATTGCATTTTTAGAAGGAATCATCCAAACAAATTTATTTGTAACATGGTGGATAGCAAAGTCCCTCTTTGAAAACCTACTTCAGTCATTTTACGGTGAGTTTCTTACATAAATATAATCAAATATGATTTTCGTTTGGGCTTTCCTTTTCCTTTGTATAATTCCAAATGAGCTTGATGGGTTATTGAATTATGAGTAACTTGTGTCATAGTATTACAGCATTTTACGGACTCGATTTGATTGCACTCATAAATGATGCAATGAACGGTCTCTATCCTATAAACGTCTGAAACTACTCTCTTCAACATATGTTTGCATTAGGCATCTATGTCTAATAAATGCCTCTTCTGAATCAAAACACCAGGGGCCGGTTGTTCGAAAGGCTTTTAGCTTAAACGGTGGATAACCCAAGTTTAAAAGTACTCTAACAGATCTTGTGAATGAATGAACCTGCATCTGACGCATTAAATATGTACTTCCATTGACAATTAAACTATTTACATCAAAATATTTCAGCTTAGTTGTTCAATAAATAGATGATTTTGTTTTCCATTTTGAACTTAATCGTCCCAGTAATGTTTAATGTTCCTAGTGTGGTTGTGTGTTTCAGAGTGTCTCGGTTATAATGTTCAATTTTAATTTGTAATTTAATTGTTTTGTTTTGGAAACATTCACAAACAGTTTGCACAAACTTTGACAATGAGGAAATTCTTGGCACATGCCCTAAATTGCGACTTTGAAACACATGAGAGACTTTTTAAGTTTAAATGCACAAACTGCATTAACTAACACTTGATGCTGTATATATTAGAATGGCATCACAAATTATTAATATTTAGTCTTAGTGGTGTTTTCACTTCTTCAAAATATGGTGGTGCTAATGATATAAATGCCTCTGTCTATTAAATGCTCCCTCTAGAATTGGCAGATTTCATTAAGGTGGTGTTGTTCATTGAAAATGTAGATTTACCCTGTTTTAAAAATTTAAGGAGTCGATTAGCTTGTTTCATTGTTCTGTATAATTAATGAAAAACCTTTTTAGTATTTCTTAGCAAACTAAAATGGTCATTCCTTTTACTTTCGTGCACGATAATTCAAAAAATAATAAAGGTAACTTGATAAAATTCTCATGGTTTACTCTAAAGACAATTGGCTGGGACGTGAACCATTCAGTCTATGTAAAATAGGGACTGTTTATTTTAGATAGATCATAGAAGTTTTAAATATATAGCCTGTAAAATTTTTTGGAAATGTTTTATTTATTTGAGGTTCAGCTTGGAGGCAAAAGTATTTAGAACTAAATAAAACTAATGCTGTCATTCTAGCGTTAAAACCTAGTTTGTTATCTTGTTTGCAAAAATCGTCTATTTCCCACCATTGGGTGTGTTTGTTCTTGGTAACTATAGCAATTGAAATTTTCTACAAGTCTTTTTCACTCAGAGCAACTTGACTTGCAATATGTCATGAAAAGATTTTTATTTTTTCAAAATAAAATGAAAAAAATTAATGACCTAGACTTAAAAGCCCCAGATGTTTATTGGATCATGTACAATATGTTAGTGCTTCAGTTGATCTCTGTACTCTTTTGTTTCTGTATATCTGATTTGTTTCTGTACTGTATCTTTATTGGTTATTGATGATGAAAATGGAGCTCGGGATGGTTATGCAAATTGTGGGAAATTCCAAATTGATTTTGTGCTGATTGCTTTTACTCATAATTGATGGTTTACTGTGATGACTACCAGCTAGTAATGGACAAATATTGTGTGGAAATATGTGAACTATTAACCCACCTTCTGCATGTTCGCCTTTTATCATCTGATTACTTATAACTTTTACAAATGAGTAAAACTTTTCAACTTTTGATATCTTATAGATTGTAAATGAGATCAGGCTTTTATCAGCTCACAGAATAACAAGGTATATTTATTAATTTTAGAAATTGTGCATCAAAAATTGTCTGCCTAGAACTGAACAAGTGTTGCTAAAGATGTATGGATTAACTGCAGTTGGTATATATTGCATTTTTAGAAGGAAGCATCCAAACAAATTCATTTGTAAAATGGTGGATAACAAAGTCCCTCCTTGAAAACCTACTTCAGTCATTTTACGGTGAGTTTCTTACATAAATATAATCAAATATGATTTTCGTTTGGGCTTTCCTTTTCCTTTGTATATTTCCAAATGAGCTTGATAGGTTATTGAATATCGAGTAACTTGTGTCATAGTATTACAGCATTTTACGGACTCGATTTGATTGCACTCATAAATGATGCAATGAACGGTCTCTATCCTATAAACGTCTGAAACTACTCTCTTCAACATATTTTTGCATTAGGCATCTATGTCTAATAAATGCCTCTTCTGAATCAAAACACCAGGGGCCGGTTGTTCGAAAGGCGTTTAGCTTAAACGGTGGAAACCCCAAGTTTAAAAGTACTCTAACAGGTCTTGTGAATGAATGTACCTGCATCTTACGCATTAAATATGTACTTCCATTGACAATTAAACTATTTACATCAAAATATTTCAGCTCAGTTGTTCAATAAATACATGATTTTGTTTTCCATTTTGAACTTAATCGTCCCAGTAATGTTTAATGTCCCTAGTGTGGTTGTGTGTTTCAGAGTGTCATGGTTATAATGTTCAATTTTAATTTGTAATTTAATTGTTTTGTTTTGGAAACATTCACAAACAGTTTGCACAAACTTTGACAATGAGGAAATTTTTGCAATAGGGACATGCCCTAAATTGCGACTTTGAAACACATGGGAGACTTTTTAAGTTTATATGTACAAACTGCATTAACTAACACTTGATGCTGTATGTATTAGAATGGCATCACAAATTATTGATATTTAGTCTTAGTGGTATTTTCACTTCTTCAAAATATGGTGGTGCTAATGATATAAATGCCTCTCTCTATTAAATGCTCTCTCTAGAATTGGCAGATTTCATTAAGGTGGTGTTGGTCATTGAAAATGTAGATTTACCCTGTTTTAAAAATTTAAGGAGTCGATTAGCTTGTTTCATTGTTCTGTATAATTAATGAAAAACTTTTTTAGTTTTTCTTAGCAAGCTAAAATTGTCATTCCCCTTACTTTCCTGCACGATAATTCGAAAAATAATAAGGGTAACTTGATAAAATTCTCATGGTTTATTCTAAAGACAATTGGCTGGGACGTGAACCATTCAGTCTACGTAAATAGGGACTGTTTATTTTAGATAGATCATAGAAGTTTTAAATATATAGCCTGTAAAATGTTTTTGGAAATTTTATTTATTTGAGGTTCAGCTTGGAGGCAAAAATATTTAGAACTAAAAAAACTAATGCTGTCATTTTAGCGTTAAAACCTAGTTTGTTATCTTGTTTGCAAAAATCGTCTATTTCCACCATTGGGTGTGTTTGTTCTGGGTAACTATAGCAATTGAACTTTTCTACAAGTCTTTTTTACTCAGAGCAACTTGACTTGCAATATGTCATGAAAAGATTTTTATATTTTTCAAAATGAAAATGAAAAAAAAATTAATGACCTAGACTTAAAAGCCCCAGATGTTTATTGGATCATGTACAATATGTTAGTGCTTCAGTTGATCTCTGTACTCTTTTGTCTCTGTATATCTGATATCTGTACTGTATCTTTATTGGTATTATATGATGAAAATGGGAGCTCTGGATGGTTATGCAAATTGTGGGAAATTCCAAATTGATTTTGTGGGCCATCCTTCCAGGTTTTCCAAAAAGCCTGAGTAATTGATTGCACTGGGAGTCTTAGCAATAAAAAAGTGCTGACTGAGGAATTTTGTGCAAAGAGCAAGGATTTATGAATTTACAAACATGAATTTTGAAACTTGTTCTCATAGGTTTGAGTTTTTGTTTTCTTCTGGGGGGGCTTAAACTTTAGATACATGATATCTAGCTAGCAACACTTTCTGACATTAGATAAAATTAAATAGAATAAATTTCCTCTTGATATATAGTTGCATCGGTAGTCATGGTTCATATGGCCGATAGGTGGAGAAAATATTTACCAATGATTTTGACCTGTTGTGGGTAGAAAAGCTAATGAAAGATAAAATGAACAAGCTGCCATGTATTTTATGATTTTACAAGCTGCCATGTATTTTATGATTTACAGCTTGAAAATTCTGTATTTCGCAATTGCTTTTCCGAGTTGCTCGATATATTATAATATCAACTATAACAATACCGTTTCATGTGTATATAAAGATCTTTTTTGAAAGATTCAACATTGCTCTGATGCAATTATTACTTTTTGGCAAATTTTTAGGGGGGCTGAGGCCCCCCAGTAAGATTTCTTGGGGGGCCGAGCCCCTCAGCCCCCCATACTCTATGCCTATGCTTGTTCTCATGATTATTTACATGGAGAAAGAATCAAATAAATCATTATCACAATTAATTTTAAATACAATAACTAATTACCTGAAAAATATTGAATGTATTGAAAATATTGATCGTTTTAGAATTTAGACATGCAGTATCAATAATATAAATTGTACGGTAAATTGTGCAAAAAACTCAGGGGGGGGCATTCGGCACGCCCAGTACGCGAAAAACCGGGTAACGAGGATAGATTTCGGAGAAGAAAGGCGAAGGAAGGAAAGCCCGGAAATTTTTTAATTTTCTATGTTTTAAAGAGAAACTATAAAGTTATTTTAATGAAGTGAAGCTTGTTGAGAAAAAGATATTCCGATTATAAGTATATCTAGATATATATCTTATAAGCGTATGTTTTTGTTTGCTGCCTTTTTTAATATGACTTCGTCCTCGCGCATCGAATGTTGGAATTTTCTGAATATTTTTTCGGTCGATTTCTTTTGCATTAGTTCAACGTTTTAGAGTAAGAATGTTTGTTATGCCAAAGCATTTATTTCACGTAAATGACGTTCATTTTTTTGCTTTGTTAGATTAAAAGTCCAGCGAGAAATGAAGTGAAAGGCGATTTGAAAACCACGAGGTAAGGCAGTAAGCCGCCATTTTATTAAATTTTCGTACTTTTTTTAATAGTGTGTTGTTTTTGTTTTATTTTAACATTCCATGCCCCAACCGAACACTTCAGTAAGGGTGCAGTAGTTTTAAAAAGATTTGTGGTTTAATTTTATTAAAAAATCCGCCTTCAGTCGAGAGGCGAGAGGAATGGCGAATTATTTCAGACCATGTATTCGGTGTTTGACATAATTGTGGGACCTGTGTTGCCAAATTAGTTTGTATTTTGAAACATTCGATTAAGTGCTAAGAAAAGAAATGGAAAACTAACTCTTTAAAGCCCGTTTTTGTTTTTGCTAAGGCAGCTTGATGCATGTAGTTTGATATATAAGAGGGGTCAGCACCATTTAGTAGCCTTAGAATAAGGGGAAGTAGAATTGTTTAAACGTTGATTCAATGTTGTTTTATCAGAGTCTGATGTTAATATTTTGTGTTTCAGATTGCTTTTGCCAATGTTTTGATCTGAAGGCTTAAAGAACCATTTTTACAATATTGGAGATATGTAGTGGAATAAATGCCTGGAAAGACAATTATTGTCTGACAATATAAACTATAAATTGAAACCGGAATGCAATGATAAGAAAGGGAAATATGGAATAAATGCCTGGAAATACAATATAAACTATAATTTTAAACTGGAATGCAATGATAAGAAAGGGAAATAAACTATTGCTAAGTCTAAAGAACCACTGAAGCTGAAGAATTGAGATACAACAATCTTTGACTGACTTTAGGTGTAAGACGTTCGCCCAGCTATTGTAGACCGCATGGAATCGATTCAAGTCCTTTAAAAATTTGTGAATCAAGATGAGAATGAACTTAGTGAATCTGTAATTGCTGCTATATGTTTTGGCTAAAATATAAAAAAAACTGTTGTATGTCTCCAAAACAAAGGAGCTTATATTTATGATACCAAAAAGAACAGGATGTTTGACATCAGAAATACAAAGAATTCGGCACACAGAGACAATTCACCTTTTAAAACGAAACCAAAAAACTAGAAGCAAAAAACAAATTGTGCTTCAAAACAAAACTAGAATGCACTGCTTTTAAAAGGTTGAAATATAGGAAAGGACAACTTTTTTCTAGGCGTTTAGTGATTCGTTTATAGTAACATCGCTCACGATGATGTTCGGAGTTGATCGGCATGTTGTCGTACATTATCATACCACGTGATCTGCTAAGATCACATGGTAATTATTGCCTATGAAACTAATCTCAACGTTAAAAAAAAATTTCTTTAGATTGGTGGCGATCGAAGGTGGACAGCAAGATCGAAGCTCAGCAAGATTGAAGATTGTTCGAAGAAGAAGGAGTTCGCCGTTGACTAAAAGGTGGGTTCCGGCGATTATATGCGTAATCTGCGGTTGCTTTGTCCGACCCCAGTAGGGGGACCGTTTGCCTGGAGCGTTTTGGTCCCCCGCACGCTGCTAGTTCCCACTTGTAGGCCTTTACACTAATCTACGGGAAGGCCGTAGGCCTTCCTTAAGGAGTACAGTGTAGCTGAGCCGAACCCTTTTTTTTCGTTGTATATAGGTTTATCTGAACAGCTAGTTGTCAAGATGAATGCGAAGACTCGCCCGGCCAAATTCAAAATGGCGATGCCAAAGAAAACCACCACCTGGACCGTTCGCAGACCTTTCTGGGCAAGATTGTTGTGCTGTCTGGTCAAAGTTAAGTATTTTACTTTGATGTTTGTGTGCCTTCGGCTAATTGTTGGCCAGAAATGACAAAAAGCCATATACAATATGAAATATTCTGCGTACAAGGTTATCTAAAATTTCGAACTTAATTCTGCCTGCAATGATGATAATTTTTTACTGAAAATTTATGTCATGAGCAACTTCCGCACCTATAGACTGAAGCAGAACTGAACATTTTGTCATTAACGTTTATCTCAACAGCCAGTTATCAAGACGAACGTCAAGAGAACAGTTGAAATAGAAAATAGAAATCAGTTCAAGACTCGCCGCCGCCGAATTCAAAATGGCGATCCCATACACGTGGACCGTTCGCGGACCTTTCTGAGCAAGATTGTTGTGCTGTCTGGTCAAAGTTAAGTATTTTACTTTGATGTTTGTGTGCCTTCTGCTAATTGTCGGTCAGAAATAACAAAAAACCATATACAATATGAAATATTCTGCGTACAAGGTTATCTAAAGTTTCGAGATTAATTTTGCCTGCAATGATGATAATTTTTTACTGAAAATTTATGTCTTGAGCAATTTTCGTACCCATAGACTGAAGCAGAACTGAAGATTTTGTCATTAACGTTTATCTCAACAGCTAGTTATCAAGACGAACGTCAAGAGAACAGTTGAAATAGAAATCAGTTCAAGACTCGCCCGGCCGAATTCAAAATGGCGATGCCGAAGAAAACTATACACGTGGACCGTTCGCGGACCTTTCTGAGCAAGATTGTTGTGCTGTCTGGTCAAAGTTAAGTATTTACTTTACTGTTTGTGTGCCTTCTGTAAAACTAGACAATAATTAAGGTAGTTATAAATGCAATTTTATATTAATAATGTCTTATTATATTAAAGATTTTCCTTGGTCAACATTGGAAGTGAACAAGATTTCTGCACAGAGGTAATTCGATTGTTTCTTCTAAATTTATATTAGCCTTGCAGCTGAAATCTTGTCACTACCTTGTAATACATATCAACTGCCTGGGTATGTATTTTGTTATTTCAATAGTATAAGAGGGAATTTGCTGCAACTAGGATCTTTTTCGTGAAAATTGTCAGTGCGGTCACAATTTGGTTAAGATTGCTAAGTGAACTTTGCTTCTATACTCACTATGTGTCACCAGTAATAAATTCCTGTGGTGGTCTTGAAGAAAATATAGCAACCATAGTTATATATAGAAGGATGAAGTAACCATAGATTACCTGACCAAAAACTAGACAGTAATTAAGATAGTTGAAAATGGAATTTTATATTAATAATGTCTTTTTATATTCAAGATTTTTCTTGGACAAGAGTGCAACATTAACTGTGGATATGAACTTTACTTTCAAATGAACATTGGAAGTGAACAAGATTTCTGCACAGAGGTAATTCGATTGTTCCTTCAAAATTTATATTAGCCTTGCAGCTGAAATTCTTGTAGTGACTTTGTAATACATATCAACTGCCCGGATATATATTTTTTATTTATTATAAGGGGGAATTTGCTGCAACTACGATCTTTTTCATGAAAATCGTCAGGCAGTCACAATTTTGTTAAGATTATAAAGTGAACTTTGCTTCTATACTCACTATGTGTCACCAGTAATAAATTCCTGTGCTGGTCTTTGAATAAATATAGCAACCATAGTTATATATAGAGGGATGAAGTAACCATAGAATACCTGACGAAAAACTAGACAATAATTAAGATAGTTGAAAATGGAATTTTGTCTTAATAATAACTTCTTTATATATTCAAGATTTTCCTTGGTCAAGAGTGCAACCAGCCACATTAGCTGCTGTGATATGGACTTTACTGTCAGAGGAAAATTGGAAGTGAACAAGATTTTTGCAGAGGTAATTTGATTGTTCCTTCAAAATTTATATTAGCCTTGCAGCTGAAATTCTTGTAGTGACTTTAATACATATCAACTGCCCGGATATATATTTTGTTATTTATTATAAGGGGGAATTTGCTGCAACTAGGATCTTTTTCATGAAAATCGTCAGGCAGTCACAATTTTGTTAAGATTATAAAGTGAACTTTGCTTCTATACTCACTATGTGTCACCAGTAATAAATTCCTGTGCTGGTCTTTGAATAAATATAGCAACCATAGTTATATATAGAGGGATGAAGTAACCATAGAATACCTGACGAAAAACTAGACAATAATTAAGATAGTTGAAAATGGAATTTTGTCTTAATAATAACTTCTTTATATATTCAAGATTTTCCTTGGTCAAGAGTGCAACCAGCCACATTAGCTGCTGTGGATATGGACTTTACTGTCAGAGGAAAATTGGAAGTGAACAAGATTTTTGCAGAGGTAATTTGATTGTTCCTTCAAAATTTATATTAGCCTTGCAGCTGAAATTCTTGTAGTGACTTTGTAATACATATCAACTGCCCGGATATATATTTTTTATTATAAGGGGGAATTTGCTGCAACTAGGATCTTTTTCATGAAAATCGTCAGGCAGTCACAATTTTGTTAAGATTATAAAGTGAACTTTGCTTCTATACTCACTATGTGTCACCAGTAATAAATTCCTGTGCTGGTCTTTGAATAAATATAGCAACCATAGTTATATATAGAGGGATGAAGTAACCATAGAATACCTGACGAAAAACTAGACAATAATTAAGATAGTTGAAAATGGAATTTTGTCTTAATAATAACTTCTTTATATATTCAAGATTTTCCTTGATCAAGAGTGCAACCAGCCACATTAGCTGCTGTGGATATGGACTTTACTGTCAGAGGAAAATTGGAAGTGAAAAGATTTTTGCAGAGGTAATTTGATTGTTCCTTCAAAATTTATATTAGCCTTGCAGCTGAAATTCTTGTAGTGACCTTGTAATATATCAACCGCCCAGATATATATTTTGTTATTTATATAAGGGGAATTTGCTGCAACTAGGATCTTCATGAAAATCAGGCAGTCACAATTTTGTTAAGATTATAAAGTGAACTTTGCTTCTATACTCACTATGTGTCACCAGTAATAAATTCCTGTGCTGGTCTTTGAATAAATATAGCAACCATAGTTATATTAGAGGGATGAAGTAACCATAGAATACCTGACGAAAAACTAGACAATAATTAAGATAGTTGAAATGGAATTTTGTCTTAATAATAACTTCTTT